ACCCCCACTGTTGTTTTTAATGCCATCTCCTGCAGACATCATCAGAATGAACTGAGGACTCTGGGCTGGTGTCTGCCTCTGCTGCACAGACTGCTTGCTTGGTGCCTAGCAATCTTCCCACATCTAGTGTCAGAAGTGACCTCTGTTGTGACAGCATGTAGAAGAAATGGAGTCAGGTCTATTTTTTCTACCCAACAACCAAATCAAAACTGGGGCTCAGCTTGACTACACAGTGAGAAATGGAGAAACAACACCACCACACCAGATGGACTAAAGGTTCTATGTAAAGAGGCCTGGAGGGATGCTCAATCTGCTTACTATTCTTGAAGAGCAGAGTTCAGATCCCAGCACCCAGGTTCAAGTCCCATTCCCTATGCATGCCCGGGCCCATCGCTGCTCAGGGCACAGAAATAGAATCCCTGGGATCTACTGGCTTCCAACTCAGAAACAAAACCAACACCAAACCCAAAACACTGGCTCAGGGACAGGGAGAGTCCCTGCCTCAAAGAAATAGGAGAATTATAGATAAGGACACAGGAGGCTTTCCTCTGGACTCCACATAGATACACATGCACACACAAAGTTAAATAAACAAAACAACAACTAAAAGTACACTATAAAAAGTTAAGAGAACCTGATAGAAGACATTTGTAAATCTGCAAGCTTATAAACCAGGCAAGCATTCATAAATCAAAAAGAGATTTCCAGTGGTGACACATGCCTTTAATCCCAGCACTGAGGAGGCAAAGATAGGCGGACAGGCAGATCTCTGTGAGTTCAAGGCCACCCTGGTCTACAAAGCAAGTTCGGGGGGCAGGCTCCAGAGCTGCACAGAGAAAAAACAAAAGAAAGACTTATCAGCTGGGCATAGTGGCCCACACCTTTAATCCCAGTACTTGGAAGGCAGAGGCAGATGGATCTCTGTGAGTCTGAGGCCAGCCTGGTCTACAGAGTGAATCCCAGGACAGCTGGAGCTACAAAGTGAGGTCCTACCTCAAATGTTTCCCTCTGCAAACAAAACAAACCAGGCTTCTCTAAAAATCAGAAGGAAAAGATAAATAGGAAAAAATAGCTTGAGAATATATACAGGGAGCCGAAAAGATGGCTCAGTGGGTACAGACATACCAAATTCAGCTCATGGGCTTAACATGGTGAATGGAGAGAACCAACTCCTGGAAGCTGTCGCTGACCTCCACATGTGTGTCATGGCACATGAACACATGTGCACACATAAATATAAAATTTAAATATATAAACAATTATACATATATATGGTATTTGCTCAAAGTCAATGGTAATCTGGAAGGCAAAAGAGAAATACTATTTCACACCCATTTACAGGTGCTAAAATTTTAAGGTTTGCGGAGCAGATTAGACTTTTTTTTTTTCCAAAGAAAGAAAAAAAAATGAACTTGTGTAACACTAGCTGTTTATTCCAGTAACAGGAGCAGCAGCTGCGGGGAGAACTGGATCTCAGCTGCTCAGTCCAAGCTGTCCAGGAGGCAGCAGCAGCAGAGGGCAGCCCAGCACGCAGCCAGGACTGCCTGACAGCCGCCATCCATGTCCGTCTTCCTTTCCCGTTCCATAATGTACACTGGGAGGGAGGGGCGGGCGGGGGAAGAGAGAGACCAGTTAAGGAGGAGCTTGGGGCAGTGTGGTCTGGCAGCACTTAGCACACTGAAAGACTCGCACACAAAACTCAGCTCCATGAGGGCAGGACAGGGGCTGCTCCAGTGTCTGTCACTCATCAGAATTGTCAGACTGCTGTTTCCAGTCATTTCACTTTCCAAAAGTTCTGAACCCCACCCACCACCTCATTTGATGTTGTCTATAGTGACCCAGTTTGCAGCCTTTGTCCTAAGCCCGATGTATGTGGCTTTGGGAAGCTTTACCCACTCTCATTTAATCCTCACAAGCACTGTATTACTATTGTCACAGTGACACTCCCATACACCTTTTCAGGAGGCATGGCATGTCTGGGAAGGGAAATTTGTAGAGATGGGATACAACTCCTGTTGCTAAGAAAAACAAACAACAACAAAAAACAAACAAAAAACAAAAAGCCTGGTAGCTAGAATTTAGCCTAGAGTCCAATCAGCTAAAGGAAGACAGGGCACAGAGTAGAATACCAGCCTTTAAAGAGAGCTAGATAGGTCTTCATGTGGTCAAGAGTGTAGGGAAGAGAGGGATATAGTAATGCTTTTATATTATTTATATGGAAAGGGTTATCCATGCTTCTGAGACAATGTAAGAAACCTAAATGTCAGGGTATGGGGAAGAACAGAGATTTTCAATTTATGTTTTTCACTTTTCTTAAATCTAGGCTTACTTGATTCCAAAGCCACACTCAAATATGCAAGAGAGGAAGGGAAGCAGAGAAGGCCATGCTACAGCAGGAAGCTAACTATCTGACTGGCTGCCTTGGACCCCTCTGTCCTCTCTGTAAGTGCTAGTTCTGGTACTGACTGACCTGGACTAATTGTCTCGGTGGCCCTGACCTGGACTGCTTCCAAGTCACTGTCAATTACAAGTTCCACTTGGCCCAACTCCACCCGATCTATGTATGCCCCCTTCACAGCCACACTGGCAGCCTCTGTTCCCTGCTCCCATCCATCCAAAAGCCTCAGACCTTGCTGCCTATGGGCCCTGGGTGAACACAAGGGCTTTAGTACTAGGCAGGAGAAGCCAGATCAAATTACCAGGTCTCCCCTAAAGATGCTCAGGGCCTAAAGGGTGAGCATCCAGATACTTGTGTCATTCCTAGAGCTGGGCCCCTGTGAGTACAAATGCAGCCTTGATATGCCATGGCCCAAACATATTACTGTCAAGGTTTCTATTGAACCCTCCTAGCTCTCCAAGCAGCACTCAGCATTTAGCACAACAGTGCCAGCCTTACCCTTTCTTCTCTGGGTTTTGCTAGGGAGCCGAGTTGGGTCATGGAGGAAATGTCTGCTGTGAACACCCAGTAGTAGTCCAGGTCCCGAACCCCCTTTCTCTGTTCACCTCAGTATGTTACATATGCTCTTTCCCCATCCTAAGCAGAGTCCCTGTGTCTCAACTCCAGTTACCACTGCTCCCCCCGCCCACCACTGCTGTGGCCTGGTTCCTTAGGGTACCCTATCAGGAGAAACTCGGGAGCCCACTCACTTCCCATCCACCAACATTGAGGATATGCTCATCCACTGCAAATATCTTCTTTTGCCACTCTGTCTAGGAGGCCCTCCAATATCTGCTACACTAGGACACAGGACTGAAGCATCCTCGTCAGCACACCTGCCTACATCTCCCAGACATGGCCTTCACAATTTATCATCACCATCACTGGCCCAGGCCCATGAAGCCCTGCACACTTACAGGTAGCCAGCATATTGTGGTCCAATTTGATGGAGAAAGAAACTGATTCAGATAGAGTAGCATTATTTTGTCCAAAGTCAGCATCTCCAAGCTAGTCTCCCAGCTAACCACAGCACCTTCATACTGTTCACACTTACCCCCACCACATCACTCATTTGCTCAAGAACACCTAGGCTCTCCAGCACAGCACTCTGTCCTTTGCTGCCTGAATTGTTCAGACTTCGTGGATCCTATGGGTATGTAGGGTCTCAGATATCTCAGAGCCAAGTCCTTGCACTTGTAAGACCTGGACCTGACCTATCTGTCCCCAAGGCAGGCTGCTTACCAGCATGACAAGAGCACAACTCCTTAGTGATCACAGAAAGCAGTGGTCCCTGAAAGCCAGGTGAAGGGGACTGCCCTGAGGCAGCCAGTGCTGGGGGTTTCTCTCAGAGATCAAAGGCAAAGTCTGCAAGACAGGAGCCAGAATGGCTCACAGCTGTGTCCTGCAATGTGTACATTAGCACATTCTCCCACGGCCCAGGCCAGCTCTATGAGCATGGGTCTGAAAGAGTACACCCTAGGCCCCAGCCTACAATATAGAGAAAGGCAGCCCCCTAACTACGTTTTCGGGGTTCCTCTGTCTTTATCTCTCCAGCCCTTTCCCCCTTACCTCAGGAGTCTGAGGTACAGCAGGAAGAAGTTAAGTATGGAAGGGGCAGTAGGTTTTGCAAGACTGGTGATGGAAGTTCAGATAAAAACAGAGAAGGAGGGGCTGGAGTGATGGTGGTTAAGAGCCTTGGTCACTCTTCCAAAGGACCTGGGTTCAAATCCCAGCACCCACATGGTAGTTCACAGCTGTCTATAAATCCAGTTCCAGTGGATCTGGCATCCTCACACAGACATACACGCAGGCAAAACCCCAATGTACATAAAAAACCTTAAAAAAAAAACAGAGAAGGAACCCTTCTTATGTGACAACTATATACAGAAGGATATGGTATTCCATATTTAGTTTTTGTCCCACAGTCCCTGACTCCTAACTCCCTCCAGAGAAAAGCCACAGAAACGAGGACTTCTCTTCCTGAAGGCCTTCCCCATCTTTCTGCTTAGAACTGGCTCTGTGGAATGAACTCCCAGGGCTGGAGAGATGGCTCAGCGGTTAAGAGTACTTGCTGGTCTTCCAAAAGACCCGGGTTCAGTTCCCAGCACCCACATGGCAGCTCATAACTGTCTGTTAACTCCAGTTCCAGGGGACCTGACACCTTTATATCAATGCACATAAAATAAAGTTATAATAAGAAAAGAATGAACGCCCTTAGGGATGGGCATGGTGGCACACACTTACAAGTTTCAGGCCAGCCTGGTCTACATAGTAAGTTCCAGGACAGTCAGAGCCACATAATGATACCCTGTCTCAAAAGCAAAATAAAACAAAATTGAACTCTCTGGTCTACCTTTAAATAGTTCAGAAGACCCTCCTCATTCCCAGGAGGGTCCTGCCCATGGTTTTTTTTGTTTTTTGTTTCTCAAGACAGGGTTTCTCTGTATTGTTTTGGAGCCTGTCCTGGAACTCGCTCTGTAGACCAGGCTGACCTCAAACTCTCAGAGATCCACCTGCCTCTGCCTCCCGAGGGCTGGGATTGAAGGCTGCGCCACCAACACCTGGTGATCCTGCCCATGGTTACACTGACAAGCCATGCTGGGTTTTCCTGCTCTATTTGTGTCATATCTGACCCGTTAGTCCAATCAGAGCTACATGGCTGCCTGTGCAGTATCTCCATAAAATGTTCCAAAGGGCAGAGTTTGCGGCTTCTGGGCAGCCCTAAACTCATGACAGTTCCTGGAAGTGTCAGACCCTGAGAGGACATAGAAGTGCCACTTTCGGCACTCTTGTATGTTCTACAGCTCTTCATCCATGTCTTCTGTACTGGCTTTTATAATAAATCATCAAACAAAAGTGTTCCCTGAGCCACTAAAGCAAACAAACAAACTAGTGGAGGGGTTGTGGGGGCTCCTGTTAACAGCAAGTTGATTGGAACTACAGGCAAAGTAGAGACCAAGACAGGCATCTAGAAAGAGGGGCACACTTAGAGACTGAGCCTTCAACCTATGGGATCCGATGAAGCAGATCAGGGGATGCCCAGCTGGTGTATGACGCTACAGAACCATATGCTTGCTTGCTTGGTGGGAGAGACCCCCCCCCCACGTTGTCAGAGGTCACAGAAGTCTTTATGATGGGTGATAAGGAACATATGCAAAGGGGTGTTTTGGGCTGGACGTTGGTGGCACACACCTTTAATCCCAGCACTTGGGAGGCAGAGGCAGGTGGATCTCTGTGAGTTCAAGGCCAGCCTGATCTCCAGAGCAAGTGCCAGGATAGGTTCCAAAGCTACACGGAGAAACCCTGTCTTGAAAAACAAAAAAAAAAAAGGGGGGGTTGGTTTTATTAGGTATCCTAAAGGGATGTTGTGTTGATTGTATTTTGTCAGCTTGACACAAGTTAGAGTCATCAAGGAAGAGGAGGCCTTAGTTGAAGAACTGCCTAGACTATCGGCAAGTCTGTGGGGTGTTTTCTTCACTGATGATTCATGTAGGGCGCCCCAGCCCACTGTGGGTGCTGCCCTTCCTGGCTAGGTGGTCCTGGGATGTGTAAGAAAGCAGGCAGAGTGTGCCATAGAGAACAAGCCAAGAGGAGCAGCATTACCCTAGGGCCTCTACTGGAGTTCCTGCTTTGGCTTTCCTCAGTGATGGACTGTGGTGAGGATGTGGAAGACAAACCCTTTCCTTACTTGGCTGCATTTGATCGTGGTCTTTACCACAACAATAGAAAGCAAAGAAGACAGATGTCCTTAGTCCAAGTCATAAGCCTTGGACTCATTTTGTCTCAATTTTGTGGGAGGCACTACATTCAGGATTTTGGAATAGTGATTTTAATAAAACATCAACTTCAATTTAGATATACAATTATCTACTTCCTAGCCAAGTAACCTTGGGCAGGTGACAATCTCTCTTAGCCTCAGTTTCCTCTGCTGTAGAAGAGGGTAATATTGGGGTCTGTGTCCCAGAGAGTTGTTGGGAAGCTTAAGAGGCCATGCATGTCAGAACAGTGCTAGCATACTGTGAATCACTCAGTAAGTATCACTGACTACGAGATTTCAGGCAGGTCCCCTCCTGGAATGACAGGAGAAGAAGAATAAAGAGGGGCTCCCTTGGACTCTGGGGAGGTCAGGGCAAAGCCACATGCTGTTCCAGAAGCAAGAGGACCCGTGTAAAGTAGGAAAGGACAGCTCCCGTGTGAGGGAAGCCTGTGCCACCATGAGGGAAGAGGGAATGAAGGTCAGTGCTAGGAGATCCTCGGGAGAAGACTGGAAGAACGTTAGCTTGGGGGTAGCCTTGAAATCAAAATCTTGCTATGTATCTTCCCTCGCTCCAACTCACACACATCTCCATACAGTTCCTGTCAGTTTTCCTTTGGCCTCAATATAACTGGAGTCCACGTCACACCTTTGGGAAGCCCAACTCTTAGAAGCCCAGGCAAGGCCCTGTTAGAGTTCTTCCCAGGGCAGTGGAGGTGATCTTACACACTGAGCCTGAAACTCAGGAATCATTGGGAGGGAGACACAGAGGGGTGGGGGCGGACTAGCCCAGGGACACAGACATAGCTACAGCCATACTGATAGGTCTATACCCAGTGAAAAACATGCCTCACCTACTGAAGGCGTGGATATTCTGCACACCCCAGCAGGAACCCTGTTCTTCCCTGGGTTTCACCTGCACCTGCCTAGACCACCTGCTAGGCCTCAGCCTTTCAAAGGCCTCAAAGCCTTTCAAAGGGCAGTAACACCTGTGAGCAAACATGCCCATCCACTTCCAGGAACAGGCCTGGCCGCATACCCTTTGAATAACTCTTCTTTCTCCTCACCAAGTCAAAGGAATGGATGGCCTGCAGGGCTCAGGGCAGAAAGTACCCTGCTCTGAGTCAGCTCCCAAACCAGCTGCCCGATTCATTAGCTGGCTCTGCCCAAGTTGATGCCCCACTCAGTTCAAGGTCAGGTCACCTTGTAAAAATACCCTTCTTACCCTCTGCCCCTGTGAGACGTCTGGTCCTGAAAGATACCTGATTGTCCTCTAGCATTCAAGACAACAGCGGGGCATAATCCAGGTCACAGCCCTGATAGGTCCCTTATCTAGCTCAGGCCTGCCAGACACCCCTTCCTTCCCAAGTTCAGGCTCTAGTTCAGCCCTGCTCCTAACTTGGATTGCCTTTGTCACCTCTCAGAATTGAGATTGGTGCTTTGTAATGAGTGTCCAAGATGAGACTGTCTTGTCAACAAAATACCGCTTGGTTATTCTTCCTCTGTCCCAGCAGCCATGTGCCAAGTGTCTGGAAGGAGGCTCCTCATCTGCTCTGCTCTGCTCTGCACCATCTAGGATCTGGCAACTCCTGGAGGAGCCTCCCCCTGGGAGGAGTCTCCAGCCTCTCAAGGCTCTCTGAGACCTGAGACTCCAACAAGCACTCTCACTTTCAATCATGCAAAACCAGCCTTATCAGCTGAGCACTGAGGCAGAGTGGGCTCAAGTGAGCATTCAGATGAGAAGGGACCAACTCCAGGCCATCCAACCTGCACAGCATGTCTGCAGGAACACACTGAGCTGGAGTAATGCAGACTACAGCTGGTGACGCTTTCCTTCCTACTCTTGTCATCAGTCACACACTGCCCCCCAAAGGGCCTGAGATCCAGGGAAGGGTGGCAGAGACAGCGCTAACAGGATTATCTCGTGACTGTGGCTATGCAAAAGAAATCTGAGTGGCTCATCTGTGGGTCTAGAGAATTTAAAAGTAACACAGAACACCATTAAGATCACAGCTTCACACAGCCAGCCATCTCCATTTTCAGTAATTCCAGGCAAATACAGGACACAGGCCCAGGAAGCCTTATCTATAACAGGACAGTTGCAGCCATATAAAGCCCACTCCCATGCAGATGTGTCATTGGCCAGTGCAACCAGTCCAGTGGCAATTCCCAATGTCAAGGAACCAAATTTTCCTAGGGGACATCTACATGTAATTCCACAATCCTCTATGTTCTCTAAGAACCAGTTGAAACAAAAGCAGATGATCAGAGCCATCAAACTGGGGGACACTGGCATGCCTACACAAAACTGCCAGGAGTAGAAGATGGGAATCCTCAGGCTTCAGCAGCTCATGGGTTCAAATCCTAGTCCTAAAATGGAGCCATTTCTAGGGACAAGCCCAAAACACAAGCAGGGTTCTGTCTAGCCTGAGGCTGCCCACTGAATGTCAAGGGCACCCCCACAGTTGCAAGGAAATCACCAACTCAAGGTGATACGTCCAATTACAGCTGGAGCCTGTTAGGAAAGCTGATCAAGTATCAGATGCAGTGTGACGCTGAGGTGAGTACTCATGGGTACGCTGCAGTCTAAATTTAGAAGGTGAGTAAAGCTGGCTTTTGTTCTGAAAGTCAAGCCCTCAGTAGAGAAAGGTAATTCATCAGCAACTAATCTTTAAGGACATCTTGCTTTAATATTCGCATCCAAAATAATTGAATACAAGGACCTGAACAAATATTGTATACCCATGATTATTATTTACACTATTTGAAATTATTTACAATGGCTTAAAGGTGAACATAGCTTAGTATCTACCATGAAGGAATAAACTAAACGTGGAATATATCTTCAATGGAATATTATTCAGCCTCAAAAAGGAAGAAACTTTGGACACATGCTATAACATGAATAAATCCTAAAGACACTCTACAAGATGAATCAGTCACAGAAGGGCAGATACTGTATGATTATATGATTTCATTTATCTGAAATAGAGTAGTCAAATCCATAGGCACAAAGTAGAATGGGGTTGTCAGGGCAGGACAAAGGAGAATTTGGGGATCTATTATTCAAGAGATACCAAGTTTCAGTTTGGAAAGAAAAGTTTTGGAGACAATGACTGGCCAACCATGTGAATGCACCTAACGTTAGCCAAAGAGCTATGCCCATAGACAAGGTCAAAAGAGCAGATTCATGAGGCTTCCAGGGCTCTTCAGTGTTCAGGAAGTCGGGACACAACAGTTCACCACTTAGTTCACAGTGGTGACATTCTGGTGGCACAGGGCCATGCTGTTCCAACACCAGCTTGGATTCTCCTCTGTCCTGTACTCCCCTGTGGCTAGCCTGGACTCCAGTTAGCCAGAGGCAAGTCATGGCTACCAAAAAACCAAGTCTGCTCTGCCTGCTTCCTTCCGTGCCTGCCTGTTCTGCTTGTAGATTCTCCCAGGTGGCTTCCCCAGGCACCTCCCAGTGCTCCAGGGAAACCAGCTGTGGTTGCTGCCACTTGGCTGAGTCTCCACCTCAAATGCCCACTTCTCTTCTCCTGACACAGCCAACCCTGGAGTGGAGTCTGGAAAAAGAAGACACTGTCTAACTCAGTGAGTTCACAGAATAGTTGGAGAGAAGAAATGAAGACGCCACACATAGGCACATGCTTGGAGGTAAAGGCAGAATCAACATGGAACACAACTGAAATTCAGAGTCATAATGCGCTGAGGTGAGGTGGATGTCAACCATGTGTCCCTTTTTATTGGCCCTCATGGTCTGGTGGTCCCATCCTCCCAGGGTGAAATGGTGGTTAACACATGACCTGTCATATAGTAGCAGGAAAGATGCTTGGAACCACAGAACTATGGGAGTGGGGGAGGGGGAGTGAGAAGAGCAGAAACCTAAACAGACTTAGCAAGCTAGGACAGAACTATGGGAGTGGGGGAGGGGGAGTGAGAAGAGCAGAAACCTAAAGTGACTTAGCAAGCTCATCCTGGTGACTGGGAGGACGACTGCCAAACTCAAGGCCAGCTTGAACTTGCACTTTTAGACTAGCCTGGGCAACTTTGTGAGACCCTGTCTCAAAATTTAAAAAAAAATTACAATTGTTTTAAAAGTACTGGAGATGTAGCTTAGTGGTAGAGTTTGCCCAGTCTCTAAAGCAGGTGGCCCTGAAAAATAAGACTGTTACAATGATTCTAGAGAGCTAAACAGAAAGCAGAGGAACAGTCATTTTCTTTGGTTTAGGTCCTGAGTTACAGAAAAAGGGCAAATGGAGAGGTTACTTTTGAGGGAAGCTGGCACTTTGGAACCTGCCCAAATGGGCAGAGATCACCCTGGAGGAAACTGTGGCTCTTACCTGCTGTTGTCCAGGCACAGAAAAGCACAGGCAGCTGTTATCAGCAATGTCAGCCTGACTCATATGCAGTACCAGCCCCAGGACTCTCATTCAAACAATATCTGCCACATTCCCCAGGAGAGCAAACACAACCATATCATTTCTATTCAACACAAAGCACGTTTTATCTTAGGCATACAGACTACAACTGGCTTCTACCCGGAACAGATTTCCAGGTTACTAATTAACAGCTCCCACAGATGTATTTATGCAAAAACACCCCAGGCTGTTTTCCTCTTTGACCAGCAGACATAATTATATGACAGTAAAAATAGCTGTTTTCTCTTAAATGCAGTCAGAGTCCTGGACACAGTGAGTTCTGAGGTCAAGAATGGGACAGGAAGACACTGTTGATGAATATGAAGAGATGGTATAGACCTCACTAGTAAGAACTGACTGGTCCATGCCTCACTTCTGTGTAATGAGCCCAGAGCTAGAGAAACAAAGGTTATCCTTGCACATCTGGAAATAACAGTGTGAGAAGTGCTGTTGTTTCTGTAACCCTATGACAAGCCAACGTCCACCTGAAAGTCAATGACAAAGAGTCCTGAAAACCACTGCCTTGCTCACACAGTCACACTGTTTGTCAAAGGAGAGGCCCAAGCTTTCCCCAGTGGAGAAAGGGAGACAGAGACGGTGCTGGGCTTTATGACTGGAACTCTGTGAGCCTGGAGACTGAGCCAGTATTTAGAGAAACACCTCTTCCCATGATCGACACTAACAGTCTGGCCAGCTTGTCACTGAGGCAGTCAAAAGAGTCACTACCACATTCCCACTAAAACAGGCTACCATCTTTGCCATAAAACCCTGAGGTGGTTTGGCCTTGGAGGTGAAGCAGGTAGGTGTCCAGTACATATAAAGTGTTCAGTGTACATTAGTTGCTATTGCTACTTCCCAGACACCCAAAGGAAGAAAGGCAGAGGCCCCAGTGACTGAGACATATGGAAGCACCATGGGCATTGCATAAAGCTGGTACAGCGTATACATATTTCAATACAATGAAATAGCTTGTTTCTGAAGAACCAACAAGAGACAAGGAAATGGGTAGAAGAGTTATGAGTGCCAGGTAACTGGGTGACAATCCAGAAAGGCCAGGAGTGCTGCCTTCCAACAAGTAAAATTCACAACCACATACAGTCATCCTTAGTACTTATGCCCATAGTACCAGAAGGCTGGAGCTAGCTGACATCAAGAACCCTTCTAGTTCCCTTACCCTTATCACTCTTCTCTCATGACTAAAGAGGGCAATGATCAGATTTAGGAGTCCCTTTTGACCTTCAAGAAGAGCCCCGGTGAACCTCCAGCTCCTGATTCTACCTGGATAAAACTGCTCAGGTCTTCAATGCTATTTATCACTCTTTGCCCTTAACCCACCATAAAGAACTCAGTGGACCTAGCACACAGAAGACACCAAATGAATAAATGAATAAGCAATTTGCCTTGTGCCTGTTATGCCACTGGAATAGCTATTATTCAAGCCTCACTTGGAAACAAGTGGCAGGTATATATTTAGCTGGTTGCTCTCTGAAGAACTATAAATATTAGTAAGAAAAAGCATCAAAACCAACAAGTGCTTAAGGAA